TTCCAACCAACAAAGATTTATATTCCTGCATTTTAGTCAATAGATATTGGGCTAATTGTGCCGTACCAATTCTATGGGAATCTCCTTTTAAGATTAATAATGAATATAATCTATTTCCTAAAGTGATCCAAATCTATTTCGCATGTGTACAAACTGAGAGTTTTCATGATGATACTTTAATTAACAAACCACTTTATGATTACCCATCATTTCTCAAAGAACTCCCATTTGAGCGATTTCTTAATTCAGCTATAGCAAGCAATTACCCTGAAGCACTAATAGTTGAATTATTTAAAATTTTTCAAATACATTTAGTAAAGTTACGAGGATTCGATCTTAGCCATCTACATCTTAACTTTGACAGTCTAGTAACTTATAGAGTTCTTCCTCAGTTTCTTAGGTACTCTTCACTATTTGACAGGTTGTCATATTTAAATTGCACATATCATTGGGATGTTAATGAAGCCAAAAAAGTCAAAAAAGCTCAGATCTTTGATGAATTAGCAAAAAATTGTCATCATATTAGAAATATTAAGGCTACCGTATGGTATAAAAAAGAAGGAATTGCACTTGCAAATCTCATAAGCTCTCAAAGATGTTTAAAAAAATTTTCTTTAGTAAATAGTAATAACTTTGCATCATCTTCTATTCAATCTCTTCAAACACAATCGCTTAAAAGCTTAAAATTCAAAAACATGCATCGTAACAGTAAATTATACAAAAGATTAGGTGTTGACGCAAAATTTAAATCTACTACATTTCAATTATATGATAAAGATATTTTATCACTTAGTCGCACAAACATTACTGAACTAAAGTTTAAGCACTGTGAAGGACTTATCCTTCTTCCCATTAATTCCACATTCCGAAATTTGACTTCTCTAGAGTACACTTATGGAAGCTACACCATTTATGATAGTGCACCACCTATTGAAACATTATCTAGTCTCATCAAGCTGAATGGTAAAACTATTGAAAATGTTACAATGAATTGGCACTGGCATTCTAATAATCCTCCCGAGTGTACCCAACTTATCAAAAATATTGCTGAGTGTACAATTAATCTAAAATATTTAAAAACTCCGCTTTATACATTAGAACAAATTGCTTTAATACTTCAAACTCAAAATCAGTTAAAAAAACTCGAAATACATATTGGATATGATATACATCCATATTGTGCACTTTTCCTTTTAATCAATATGCCATTCAATAACCTTAAAAATTCTATAATCCAAATATATTTTGATGGATATGGCAATTATCGACCTGAAGTTAATCAATTAAAACAAGTGATTGAACAAATTTTATATAAAAATCGTCAAATTGACAATTTTATTTTATATCAACGAAGTTGGCCGAACCTTTCAAATGATGAGAAAGAGAAATTAGTAAAAAAATTTCCATCTCTTAAAATCAATATATTAAAAGAACAACCTTATCGCTCTTTGATACCGGACAATTGGTCAAATAAATATAATGAATTAATATCATTTTTTGATAGTTTATTAAGAACTAATCCGATTAATATGTGGGCTATTATACAACGTGGAGCAACTTATTTTAATATGGGAAATTATATAAAATCACTTGAAGATTTAAATACAATTTTAAAAATTGATCCAAATAATGTTTGTGCATTAAGTCAACGTGGTGAAATTTTTTATATGATGAAAAAGTATGAGAATTCATTAGCTGACTTAAATAAAGCATTAGAATTTCAACCAGATAATATATGGGCATTAAGACTTAGAGGAATTGTTTATTGTAACATGAAAGAGTACGAAAGATCACTTACAGATTTAAATAAATTCTTAGAACTTGTACCA